CTTGAGCAAAAAAAGTAGAAGTTAGCTCTGTAGTTCTGAGTTCTATAACATTCATTCTCCTTAGTTTCAGTCACTTGCCTTAGGTGAAGACAGAATTTCTGTGGGTTTCTGGGTTGTTTCAAATGTCTTGCTTTGACCATGAGGTACCTCCATGTTCTTTTCACTGGGCAATGTGCTGTCTTTTGAGTGTTGGCAGATGACCCTGAGAAGGTGAGCTATTCCAAACAAGTGAAGATTATTTATAGTTACTATAGGAGCTCTGGTAGCGTAGTGGTTACGAATCAGGCTGTGAACCGCAAGGTCAGCAGTTCGAAACTACCAGCTGTTCCGCGGAAGAAAGATGAGGCTTTCTGCTCCCACAAAGATTTACAGCCTCGGAAACCCTGTACAGGGTTGCTATGAGTTGGAACTGACTCCATGGCACACCACCACCACCACCATGGGAGCTCTAGTAGCGTAGTGGTTATGAATTGAGCTGCTATCCTCAGGGCTAGCAGTTCGAAACTACCAGCTGTTCCATGGGAGAAAGAGGCTTTCTGCTCCCGTAAAGATTGACAGACTTGAAAACCCTGTACAGGGTCTCTATGAGTCGGAACCGACTCCATGGCATATAACAACAACAACATAGGCTTTAACTATCAAGTAATGATTTTTATTTTCCCTCTATTTTCATTTTCTCTAGTTGGCAAGAAAATTCATAAGCTCTTTACTCTATTAGAAAAACGTAATTACTGTACCTCTTCTATTTTCTTGGGAGATGTTTCACTTATATTACGTTTGAATTCTTCATTTATCTTTATTCTGGCTGCTAGAGAGAGAAACATATACATTTATTTTGTTTTCCAACTAATAATTTTGGTCCCAATAACATACATGATATTGTGTTATTCATTACGAATGACTACTTCTCTATATGGAGTCCTCGTGTGGCTCTGTGGGTTAATGTGCTGGACTGCAAAGTCGGTTTCAACCACAAGGTCAGCAGTTCAAGCTCACCAGCTGCTCCTTGGAAATCCTATACAGGGTTACTATGGGTTGGAACTGACTCAATGGCACTTAACAACAATAACAACTTCTCTATAGGTTAGAAAACAGTTTTACCCATGCAAAACAAAGTAGATAATTAAGAAACCTATTAAGTCTCTTGGAGAGCTCTAAACAGGCTAGACAGTTTATAACTGAATCTAGTAGAAAACTTTCACACTCTTACTGGTTTTTTTAGGTGTAAATCTTTCTATTAAATACAGCTTTAATACAGTTGACCCTTTAATAATACAGATTTGAGCTTCAAAGTCCACTTATACACAGAATTTCTTTTTTTTCAGTACTCTCAAACTCTTATATTTTTGTCTCCTGCTTTTCACTCCCAATTTGACTTGTACACCAAATTCTAAAAAAATCAGTATAATGCTTTGTATTTACAAATTTAAGAATATAGGTTAAAATACTTCTTTTAAAAATAGCAAAACTCAATACATACAAGTAGTTAAACCATCTACACATGCAAACAAAATAAAGATAAGCAGTGAAGAACATATACTTATAATTTTGAATGCCTTGGCTGACACATAAATTGAATGACTAATAAAACTTTTGCTCATGTATAAAACTGAGTCTTTGATGTCATTACAACAGCATACTTTAGTCTAATCTGACTAATATACTACCTCATTAGTTTGCTATGAGTTTTTAGTGGTACAATCCATGTAAAGTGCTTAGTAAAGATCTATGTAGTATGTGTTAGATGTTTTTACAATTGGAGTCCTGGTGTGGTGCTGTATACAATAAGTGTTAGAAGTTTTTACAATTACTTCACTTAAAAAAATCTAACGCAAAAAATATGCCACATTGATGGAGAATAGTCATAAAACCTTCTCTCTATGCATGACAAATTTCAGTACATAAGGTGTTTAAGAAGGAACTCTGGTGGCACTGTGGCCAAAGTGCTCAGCTGCTAACAATAAGGTCAATGGTTCAAACACATCGGTTGCTCCATGGAAGAAAAATGTGGCAGTCCCTTTCCATAAAGATTTATAGACTTGGACACACAAAGGAGCAGTTCTACTCTGTCCTATAATAAGCTTGCCATGAGTCAGAATCAACTTGAGGGCAGTGGGTTAATGTGGTTCAGAGTTTGAGCTCTGGAGTCAGACTAGTTGTTGTTGTTAAGTGCCATCGAGTCGATTCTGACCCATAATGACCCTGCATAGGGTTTCCAAGGAGCAACTGGTGAGCTTGAACCACCGACCTTGCAGTTGAAACAGCTTTGCAGTCTGGCGCATTAGCTCACAGCGCCACACCAGAGCTCAGTTTACTTAGGCTAAATTCCTAGTTCTACCCTAAACACTAAAGAATGAAGTAGGGGCAAATCATTGCACATATACCAGTTTTCTCATCTATAAAAATGGGAATTATAATACTAACTACCTCACAGGATTGTTATGAGACTTAAATTAGGTTTATACATTTGACACCAATGAAATTGTTATTGGTGAATTACAAAAACTTGAATACTAGAGACAATGGAGACTCTCATGGAGGTTTAGAAATGTCTGAGGATTAGAATCAACCGTGACCATCACAGAATCTAGGCTTTAGAGCTGTGACTTCCACTTAATACAGTGAGATATTGAATCTACTTTTACAGTATATGAAAATTGTAGTAATAAAGAAATGGATTTAATGGCTTGAACATAAGACAAATAGTAGAGAATGGTAAAATCCTGCTTATTTTTATGATTCTTTATGAAAAGTTGATCTTTCAAAATTTCTTTTTAAGTAGTTACCTCTCAAAGAAATGCAATATAAACCAAACCCACTGCTGTTGAGTCGATTCTGACTCACAGAAGCCCTATAAAAGGTTTTTGAGACTGTAAGTCTTTATGGGGGCAGATAACCTCACCTTTCTCCCAGGGAGCAGCTGGTGGGTTTGAACCTCTGATCTTGCAGTTAACAGCCCAATATTCAATCCACAGTACTACATAGTCTTTATAGAATATAACAGCATTAGGGAAAAGATTAATGTTGTTATTGTTAAGTGCCACTGAATCAATTCTGACCCATAGTGACCCTGTAGAGTTTCTGAGGAGTGGATCTTGCAGTTCAAACTGACCTTGCAGTTCAGCCGATTAGCCCACAGCCACCACACCAGGGCTCCTAATGAAAAGATAGTGAAACGTAATCCCAAAATGTGACTTGACCATAGAGTGCCTTTCATATAGACAAGCGGTTTCTAGGAAGGCTCTAAGACCCTTATTTGAGACACTGAAGAATCACCAAACTTGTACCATAAAGGTAAAAACATAAATCTACCTTCCAGTGCTCTGACATCATTTTTAAAAACTTGTTGTCTGGTCCTGTGCAATGTTTTGAAGAGCTGTAGAACCTGTTAACAAAATCAGAACTCAAATTAAGAAAAAAAATTACACTATACATAGAACTGTATTACAAGAATTAAACAATATTCCCTTTCTGTTTGTTCCTGTTTATTCTCATAATAGGTGGTGAAAATCAAGGTTTACTAAAAGTAACTTTCCATTGGTTGTCTTTAAATTAGAAAAAAAAAAAAAAAGCTTTGTATATAAAAACAATAAAGTACTTTGAATACAGGCATAGTACAAAGATAGTTAAAAGGTTAATACTCCTGGGAGAGGCGGCAAGATGGTGGACTAGGCAGAAAGGTTGTATGGACCCTCGATAATGAAGAAACAGAAAACCAACTGAAACAGGTGCAGACGATGGTCCTGGAAATCTGAGCTTCAGATGAAGGGATACAGAAGTAGAGTGAGTGCTGACTAGGAGTCACAGTTGATCAGACTGGCACAGAAAGGATAAACTGGTGGCTTCTGCCCACTGAACAGATGGGTACAGCCATCTTGAGCTTTTGTGTTCTGTTTTAAAAATGTTTTATTGTGAATTATGTGATACTTTACATGGGAGAACATTAGCTTTACATCCATCCTATCGTAGATTGTTTCACTGCCATGGTTATAATCCCCTCCAGCATTATTAACCAACCACAGGGTATACCCTGCAAGCCTGGCCTCCAGTCATCAGCACACAGTCCCTCTCCCTCTCCCTCTCTGGGTCTAGAGCCCCCAGCCACTACATCTCTCCACATCATTGTCTCTGCCTCCATCTCTGGCATCACTACTTATCTGGGTAGGGTCTCACATTCCGCTCTTCTCCCTTGATGGTTCCAGGGACCTCGGCTCCTGGACTGCATAATCAATCACTCCCCTCATTTTGCTACACAACATCCACCTTTACATTTCCAACCCTCGCAGTCAGTCTTGATAACAATTATTCACCATTGTACAACAAGGGACCTATCCCCATCTCCTTTCAATAGCCCGCCCAGACAGATTGAATACTACTCAGTGATTCTACCTTCCTCTGCGCCCTCTGGATCTAGGCTCCCTCTTGAAAGCTTGTAAGTCTTTGTAGCCCCCCTATTTTGGGTAGCCAATGTCCAAGTTGTCCATCCCTGTCTACTCTGTGTATTGGGGGTGTGTGTGTGTGTGTTGGGAATGATCCACGCTGTAAAGATTTGTTCCCTCTTTTGAGCTACTGCATCCATAGGTGTAGGTCAAGTTCATCAAATTGTATCAGATTACTCTTTTTTTCCTCTTCTTTCTTCTTATTGTTGAGCTCTGATCATCCAGTCACTGAAGCCAGGTGGAGTGGGTATTATCTGCAAGTGTGGGTGTTCTTATGCATATGACCTCTCTTATCAGCAGCTGGACATTTTACTCTCCACTCTAGTCCTCTGTGGCTATGTCACTGACTCTGGGCCCAAGAGTCTCCATGTCTTGCCACACTGCCTGCCAACCAGGTCTCCACCCAGGTTCACAGGAATCTAATGAATGTTGCAGGGCTTAGATAGCAGCTTCATTGCTGTTTTTCCCTTACTTCCCCTTATCAGTGACCAGTGTGGTCACCAATCAGAGCGTTTGTCTGCTCGTGTATTCCCACTGAGTCTCAGTCTTGGAAGTGGGTTTTCCCTGAGGCAACCCGACCACTTGCCTTGATGTCTCCTGGGCAAGCAACTTGTTTTTTATCCTGTAGTAATCAGTCAGACTGATTTATATTTTGTTTTGTATTTTTCCTGTCAGTCTTTCTTTCAAGAACTATCTTCTGTTCTTCTAGTCTTTCCAGGCTGGTATGCTTGTCCTTTCAAGTGGAAAATTTCCACCTCAGAAGATTCAGGGTGAGGTTCAGGATTCCACCTTATGTTTGTCTTATGTAATGCGGAGGCTCCACAGGAAGCCTCCTTCACTGGGCACATTGTAGCCCTATTTTAGGTATTCCAATCAGTTATAGGCAGAAGACAGACTTAGATGTTTTCTATGGTGATATTTCTGGCTATTCCCTTGACTCCCCATCAAGTGTCTATTTTATAATGGTATGCCAGGGAAACCAAGATTCAAAAGACAGTCAAGCTTGCTTGCCCAGGAAACAGCAAGGCAAGTGATCGGGTCCCCTCAGTGCAAACAAACCCCCTTTCAAGATTAAGACTCAATGGGAATACACGGTCTGATTGGTGACCACGCTGGTCACTGATAAGGGGAAGCGAGGGAAAAATAACAATGAAGTGGTAAGCTAAGCCCTACAATACAGAGAGTGAAGCGTTCAGCTGATAAAAAGAGAGGACATATGCACAAGAACACCCACACTTGCAGATAATATCCACTTGACCTGGCTTCAATGACTGGATGATCAGAGCTCAACCAGAAGAAGAAAGAAGAGGGAAAAAAGAGTAATCTGATGCAATTTGATGAACTTGACCTACACCTATGGAAGCAGTAGGTCAAAAGAGGGAACAAATTCTTACAGCAAGAATCATCCCCACCCCCTCCACACACAGAGTAGACAGGGATGGGCAACTTGGACATTGGCTACCCAAAATTGGGGGGCGGGTGGGTTACAAAGGCAAGAAGTGACTGGCTTACAAGCTTTCAAGAGGGAACCTAGAGACAGGGGGTCTGGAGGAAGGCAGAATCTCCAGTGAGTAGCATCCAATCTGCCTAGGCGGAGTTGATGAAATGAAATGCAGATGGGTCTCTTGTGATACAATAGTGAATAATTGTTATCAGGACTGATTGTGAAGGTTGGAAATGTAATGGTAGACATTTTATAGCAAGGAAGGAAGTGATTAACTTTTCAGTCTAGGAGCAAAGGTCCCTAGGACCACTAACGGAGAAGAGCCGAGAGCAGGACCCTACCCAGAGAAACAGTGATGCCTGAGATGGAGGCAGAGACAATGATGTGGAGCAATGGAGCAGCTGGGGGATTTACATCCAGAGAGGGAGAGTGACTGTGTGCTGAAGATTTGAGGGGGGCAGTGGGGGGAATAGTGCAGGGGGCAGGCTTGCAGGGTATACCCTTTGGTTGGTTGATGATGCATGGAGGGGATTGTAACCATGGCAATGATACGATGCACAATAGAGTGAATGTAAAACTAATGTTCTCCCATGTAAACTGTCATTTAATTCACACAAAAAAAGACAGCCAAGTACCTTAACATTATTTTCCCCTTTTGCCCATTCCAACCACGTCTCAATCCCTGTATCCCAGAGCCCTGTTGTTCCAAAATTGTACAT